TTCGTGATTTTCAGGTGGTCGATCGGTCAGCGGTGAGAGGTCGGTGAAAGTTTTCCTTTTATCAAATGAGGGTATTTTTGGCTTTTAAAAGGTTAACCTATATTTTGACTTTTTTTTTTAATTCTACTTTTTAGTCAAAGATCATTTTGAAATTACACAAGAATGGAAAGGTCATTTCCTCCTATTTTCTCGCCGTAATTCGTATCAACCTCGCATGCTCTTTATCGGTAAATTATTACTTTGTTCATCCATAAACCTTTAAATAATTCAAAATGGGCAACGAATGTTCTTATCGAAAATTTGGTGAAGAAAAGGATAACTACAACGGCAATAAACAACTACTATGTCGACAAGCAAACATTACTCAAACCTACCGATTTATCGAATTCCACGTCGCCCTCCAATGTCACTTCTCCTAACTGCCTGCCTACACTCAGTTCCATCAGACACTCAATTGACTAATTAAGCTTCAAAATCATTAATTCTTGATTCTTCCATCAATTTTCAATTACCAAAATACAAAATCCCATTATTTAATCACCATCCCTTATCTCTCTACAGTGATTTTATTATTAACTTGTATTGAGTTATTTGGTTAGGGGTTCTATCGATGGATAAAATTGTGGGAAAGAGGAGGAGTTATTTGGCAATGAAAACTGATTCTGTAGCTGCTAATGAATTGATCAGTTCTGATTTGAAGGAAATTGGGAATGCTGTGAAAAAGCTTGCTAGTCATGCTGGAAAGCTTGGTTCCCTTGGATTTGGGACCATATTCCTCAAATGGGTTGCTTCATTTGCTGCAATGTAAGTTTTACACTTTGCCTTCCACCTGTTTGTGTTATTTCTTCACTGGATTTTTGGTACAAATTATGGGACGAGACTGAAAGTATTGTTCGATCCCGTTCATCACAACTTACGGATTATACGTGTCTTTGTGAACTAAGAAGAAATCATCTTGTCTTCAGATTGCTGTAATAAAGTTATGTTAGGTTCAAGAAGTGTGAAGAGGATAAATTGTGTGAATTATCACCATTATGAAAAAGGAAAATAACTTCCAATGATCTACGAAGAAAAAACATCAAGAGAGATCACATGTTACTCTATCAGTGGTTAAAAGTAACTCCATATTTGGATCAGATTATAACTTCCAATGAGTTATGAGTTTTATTCAAGAATGATGATTTATTGACATAAGCCCTTGTTTGATTTTGATTTTTTGACAAGTGATTTTGTAAAAAATGTTTTTTTTTTTTTTGAGAATGTGTAGTTATAAGTAGGGAGAAGTTGCAAAATTATTTTATCGAGAGAGTGCGTGATTGAAAATGCGTTGAGAAAAAGTATGGAAAAGTTATGTGCTATGGATAGTCGAACTTCATGATTACTAATTATATTGCTGTTTTAATGCTGTCTGCGCTTCTTTTGCTTCTTAATACAGAGCAAAAGACGAGGCCATAACAAAAGGGAATTTCATTGCTTATGAGTCTCTTTTATTAGTCTTATATGTTGCTTCTTCTCGATTCATTAATCGCAATATTAAATACTTACTACCATTAACACTACTTGTTGCTTGCCTTATATAATTGTTTCATCTGCTGTACTTAACATTTCTATTTGGTGTGCAGTTACTTGTTGATCTTAGATCGAACAAACTGGAAAACCAACATTCTCACTTCCCTTTTAATTCCTTACATTTTCCTGTCTCTTCCTTCACTTATATTCAACTTGCTCAGGTAACAATCTAAGCCGTAACTTCTATATCTCTGGTTGTTTTGATAATTCAACTTTTCGAAATAACTTACACAGTTGATAGTACAGGGGAGAAATTGGGAAGTGGATTGCTCTTATTGCTGTCGTCCTCCGCCTTTTCTTCCCCAGGCGTTTTCCAGGTGTGAAGTTATTATCAGTCAGTCGACATACCCCCTCCTATGCCCCCTTCTTTTTGGAGTAATATCATCACTTTGATAAAATTGTTAATGCAGATTGGCTAGAACTACCAGGAGCTTTGATCCTTCTCATTGTGGTGGCTCCGGGCTTTTTTGCTGACACCATAAGGGACAGCTGGATCGGTATCTTGATTTGTCTGGTCATTGGCTGCTATTTGCTGCAGGAACATATCCGAGCATCAGGTGGGTTCAGGAATTCATTTACAAAGAGCAATGGGATTTCCAACACTATCGGGATAGTCATTCTTTTGGTATATCCAGTTTGGGCACTCATACTTTACTTTCTTTGAAGGAATTGTTGCAGTATAATTTATTTGTGAATGTTTGCATGAATCTGTATTGCTTTTGCATTACGAATAAGTTTGATTTGTTCTTTTGTGGAAAAAATAAGCTTCGTTGAACCTGAGATTGAGAGAGTTTATCACTGTATGTAACAGAATTCTGCTTCTATCAATATTTTATCAACACAGTAAACTAAACTTTATTATTAATAAATTTAGAGTCGACCAATGAAATATACATCACCGTACTAACGCATTATTCTGTAGNTATACATCACCGTACTAACGCATTATTCTGTAGCTGCCTATAATATAGAAAACTGCAAGGAGAAAATGTAGTTTTTCGTCCTTCAATAGTTCTTGATAAGATGGACTGAATTGTATTTATGGAGTTCATGAAAGAAACATTTAGAAGCTTTGATCGATCCGATGGTGTTCTTTATGCCTTTGTTCCTTTGGCTTCACCGTACAGTTTATCAACGCAATCCTGCAGATGTACCAAAAACATATTTAGAATGATGTCTTATAATTCTCATTCATAATATATTAAAGTATTGTCTGGTTCCATGTACCGAACATATCCTTAATAAAAAGTCACATGTAAGGCAGTAAAAAGAGCAATGGACCAATCGTTTTGACATACCTTGTAATACTCGAGCAATTGTGGCCTCTTGAGCTTAAATGTTGGAGTAATTAGATCGTGATCAATGTCAAAGGGAATTGGCTCCAGATGAACTGCTCTCAACATTTCGAAGCCTCGAAGCAAAGAGAAGTAAAAGTTATTAAATGAAAAGTTGACAACAAAATTTTAAAATTACCCCCTCAGGTGGAGTAGGGTTACGGCAAAACTTGCTGCCACTACCGTACTAACGCATTATTCTGTAGTTGCCTATAATATAGAAAACTGCAAGGAGAAAATGTAGTTTTTCGTCCTTCAGTAGTTCTTGATAAGATGGACTGAATTGTATTTATGGAGTTCATGAAAGAAACATTTAGAAGCTTTGATCGATCTGATGGTGTTCTTTATGCCTTTGTTCCTTTGGCTTCACTGTACAGTTTATCAATGCAATCCTGCAGATGTACCAAAAACATATTTAGAATGATGTCGTATAATTCTCATTCATAATATATTAGGGTATTGTCCGGCAGGGTTGGAGAAAACTCTTGAACCGAATCGAACCCTAGCACGCCGAAGCACATCCCGCGATTTACCTCCTTCACAATGCTCTATGGGCTGGGCTGGGCTGGGCGGGGCGAGGCGGTGGGGAGCTTCAAGGTTGGGGTTCAACAATTTTTTTTTAAAGAACCAAGAAATGATAACTTCGAAATAGCAATTTCACTTACTTTTTAGATGTGATGTACATTTACAGGACATGTCAGGATCTGCAGAAACATCCATCAGATCAAAATACTTAAAAGAAAAAAACCTTGATTTTCCTTTCAAAAAACATAAACAATTCGATAAGCTATTTTCTTATGGGGTTATGACAAGAGAGAATTTTAGCTCCAGGATGATCTATACCAAGTACATGGAATTATCCATGCATTATACATGCCCAACGCGATCAAATCAGAATATCACACCAGTTTCCTTATTGTTTTCGATCTGTTAAGTCCTAATTACCACCTAAGCGTCAATAAAAATCAACTTGAGTCATTAAGTTGTGTATCAACAGACTTAATCAGGGTTTTCCATCCATTTTCTAATTCAAAAAGTTTATAAATTACACTCGCAACCTTTATTTAGGAATCGTGAGATTAGGTAGATAACTAGCATCCAAAAAGCAGTTTATTTTATTCAATCTATACAACTTGCTGTATATGAAATTGAAAAGGAGCAAATATACAGCTGAGTAAAAGAGAACATATGGCTTTACCACTTGCTCTCTTGAACAAACGCTATGGAAACTTCAGCATGGTTGATTATGTACTCCACTGCATTTGCACCTACTCTTAAACAGCACCAAGCCTGTCGAACAATGCAACAAAGTAATTAACTTCGACATAACACAATGCAAACATGATTACTTTACAAAATGTCACGGTCATTATGAAATACCTCAATTGCAATTATCCATTCCGGGCACTAAACTCTATATATGCCACAACGATCACTCTAATTAATCAAACACTATGGTTATACAGTTTTTGTATGCAGTAAGCATTGTTAAAGTTCTACGAGCGAAAGTTACTTCCGGGGTTGACGCCATGGCTTCGGATTGCAGAACCGATCTTAAGGGTAGTATCATAGACCTCGTGGTATGTGAGCCAAGCATACGGACCGGCCTGTTGAATTTCGAATTCCAATTGGACATATTATGTAATGAAGACTAAAATTTCCATTGTTAATTAGAAAATTCAGGTGATCTAGCAATAATAAGCAGCAAAAAAATTGGGAATGGAGTTGTACCTTTCCATCGGCGATTAGACGGCGGCCGAGCACCGGATTCTTGGGAAACCGATTCACTGTGGTCAACGAAGGAACATTATAGACAAAGCTAAACAATGCCATGTTAACAATATCTGGGTTCTGATTCAGAACTAATGAAACTGGGAAATTCGTTCAACAACAGAAACGAAATCAAGTTACATGGAAGATCAATGACTTTATAAGAACCATTGAGCACGAACAACAAATGGCCTATTAGCTCAGTTGGTTAGAGCGTCGTGCTAATAACGCGAAGGTCGCAGGTTCGAGACCTGCATGGGCCAAATTATTTTTATTTTTTTCTTGAGAGAGAAAAGTCTTGATTTAAACATTTTTTTTTGCCAATTTTGAGCTCCAAGATTGTTCATGAACTTTTTAGCCATTATTCTCTCCATCTGTATGCATATCTTTCTCTGTGTATATAATATTATCTATACAAATCTGAAGAAATCCCAGGGAGATTCAAAACCAGGGGGTATCTCCATAAGACCATCTTTAGCATAAATGCAACGATAAACTGCTCCCGCAGAAGGATTCCCATTATCAGCAACCCTTCCTTCTTCGACTTTCACCGTATAATCCCCCATTTTTGAAACTAAACAAGGAGGAATTTTTGAATTGGAAGAAATGAACACCGATAAACGATAAAGAAATGGAGAGAGTTAAGAGTAGGAAGAAGAGCTGGAGCAATGAATTTGAAGATTCATGTTAGGGGGTCAACTCTCATCTCATCTCAGCTATTTTAATCTGATGCTTTTACAGTTCCATTTATCACATACTCTTTAATCGTATACATATTTTATACATTACAAGGAAGTGTCGATCTTCTTCAAAGTACTACAACAAGATTTGAATAATCGAAAAATTAATATGGATTTGGATATCAAACAATGCATGCTGTATGTTAAATTATGCATGGAATGTTTGACATTTTTGGGACTCAACAGAAATTTCTGAAGAAAATGGAATTATTGAAGCAGAAGAGACTTTGTGGTACAAGACATAATGTAATATTGATTGTTGACCTCTAAATAAGTTGGTTAGTGACTACAAATGGTTAAAGGAGTAGTTTGAGCTTAATTATTGTCGTGTCCTAGTTTTAATATGAACGCGATGAAGAAAAAGTTGAGAACATAAATGTAATAATCAACACAGATCGTTCGTACAATTAAAATATGATGCAAGTATCAAAAATATAGTGTGAAATTACTTAGACTAAATGAAATAGTAATATATCCAATATCTTGACACAAATTCCTATCACCCACCTTAAAGGAATTATATATATAGAATGTTGTGATTAAAATAAGGAAAAGTTGTGAATTCTATAATATGTGCTGTTGAAAAAAGTCTCTCCCAAATAAATCCTACGACACTAATACATATCAACTAATTGATTTTTAGTTTCGCGACTTTTGTTTTATACAAGGACGAGTGTGTATAGGTAATCCCTTCCAATTATGGTATGGAGGAAGGGTAGATGAAATCTACACATTAATTTGATATTAGGTCAGTGATGGTATTGGGATTGTTCAAGAGACATGGGCCCACACACTACACACAAGAATGAATCATCGTGCAGTCGATAAACTATCTATTTTTATCGAACTATCAATTATCCCATAAACCTACTTACACCTACAAAAAAATTCCACCTCAATCTTGAGTCATGTTCAGCATTTAGGCCATGTTTGATAGGATACCGCCAGTAGAAATTTAAAGCTGTATTAATGGGCCTAAAAGCGCATAGAAGCTAAAAAAAAGTTAGGGAAAAATTCATAAATAAGGTGTATACTTTACACCAATTCAAAAATCAGGTTTATAGTTTGAAAATTCAAAAATCGGAGTTTTTTTTTTATGAAATAATAAATTATTAAATCAATTTATTATTAAATTTTTAATACTAATATAATATAATTAACCCATCACACATGCACCACCCATACCGCTCCGAGGACTATTCCGACGATCATTCCGACCACCTCTCTTCTCAGACGACCGTTCCGAAGACTGTTCCGGCGACTGCTCCGATTCCGGCAACTATTCCGGGGACCATTCTGGTCACATATTTACAATTTACGGTTATAGTTCAAAAATTTTATAGGTCACAATTAATTCGTTGGTTACAGATTTCAAAATTAGTTGGTCATAAATCAAAATTTATAGGTCACACAGTCACAAATTTCCAAATTAATTGGTCACAGATTTTTTTGGTCACAGATAAAAAAATGGTTGGTCACAGATTATATTTGTAGTTACAGATTATAGAATTTTAAGGTCACAGATTATATTTTTAGTCATAGAAAACCAAAATCACCATATCCTCCACCTGCACCACCGTCGACTGCCACCACCATTGTCAACCCACCACACACCACATCAAGTAAATACAACCACCACAACACCCACGACACGCACCATCTCACGGCATCGATCTGAAAAAAGTTTCCAAACTCATAGATCCAATCTACGAACAACAACTTCCACCACCAATCACCCACCTATTAACTATTTAATGGTTCACCATCACCTCACCGTCTCCGCCACCACCATTAACAACTGTAAACACCTAGAGCAGTACCCCCAGCCCATTCTATTCAACAGCACTACTTTACAGCAATAGCCATCGACTTCAGATCTGAAGCCATTGCCACCAATGGAACTGAAAACCCTGTTCCATCTCCAACACCATTACTTCACAATCGGTATCACCGATTGGGGCTACATAAAATCAGGTGTCGAGCGGCGCCCAAACACCCTCGACGCTGCTGCGATTCACAGCAGGAGAAGGGAGGGAGGGAGGCGGCGGACAGTGGTGCAGGTGAGAGAGTGGACAGAAATGAATTATTTAGGGTTATTAGATTTAGGAAATTTGGGGAGGGGGGTTGGATATATAATATTTAATACTTGATTTAAATATTAATTCTATACCTAATTTTTTATTAAATAAAATTCACATCTGAATTTTGAATTTGAAAAATTAAATTCTTGATTTTTTGTAATTTCACTTCCAAATTTTGGGTAGACTGGCCCTCTGTGGCCCATAGGCCAGTCCCAAGGTGGGCTGGGTCGAGAGGAGCTGGG